GCAATTGAAAAGTATTAATTAAAACTTAACTGACAATTAAAGAACAACCATCTTGTATGGCATTATTCGAGGCTTGTCAAGCGTAACAGGTGACCATTCTACAGTAAAATTTAATAGCTTCAATTCAGTAGTAAATGCGCACATTTACAGACGATCCACATATAAGACGAACACTTAAAAAATAAAAAAAATTATACTGTATGTTGCACATATACAGTAAGACGAACCCCCATCCAATGGTTTTTTGATCGTAATTTGCCATTTTAAGTCTCCTTATCTTATTATAAACAAGAATATAGAGTAGAGAATAAAGGTCCCTATTCCTAATGGTACTAAATATATATAGGTAAATCCAGTGATACTGTGATACTGATGAATATACAGTATCATTATCTTGAATTCAAATTTAATGTATTTTTGTTTGCATGAGTTATAGAATGCTAGACTTCAGCATTTACTCAATTAATGCTTTTCAGTATGTTAAATGGACTGTTGATTTCAGTTAAAATCCAACTCTTTGAGCGTGCTTAATCTTGGACTCTTTGAAGAGAAGTGAGGCGCTAAATTGATAAGTGGAGCAGACCTCTGCACTCCTGGGAAAATCACACCTTCCTTTTCAAAAATTATTTATATTTTCAATCACATTTAGCATCATACAAACTGTAATAATATTCAAGTAATTTAATAATCATCATAATAGAGATTTGTTTCGGCAATGAATAATTAATAACCTTTACTGATAAGACATCTTTTCAAAAAGAACCTTGGAAAGATATCAATATTCTCTTTACATTATGATTTTTCATGTTTTTAAAGGAAATTACATTATGAAAAAGGTCCAGTGCTCATCTAACTGAGCAGTACAAGAGGATGTTTGTAATGAGACATCTTTAATAAACAATTTACAGAATCTACATAAATAGATATTTAACAGGCATACCTGTTTTTTTTCTTCAGTAGGCCTACAGGTGAAAAAACTACTTTCTGAATGAAGTGAGAAATTTTGGCAGTTGATTTCTTGTTGGCATCATGTATAATTTTGAAAGGTTGCCTTGTGAATAGGTATGCTCATACAATTGGCAGAATTGGCAAACTTGCCTCTAGTTAGTTTTACTTTTTTCTTTTCATTCATTCACAACCTAAATTATTTTGTATCTTGTATGCCTTGTTTTGTGGTTATGTGCAAATCCATAGTAATTTTTACTTTTTGTATGAACTTCAATATGCATTTGATTTATTCTTTTTTTTGTCACAACCACAATGATCGAACAAAATTACTTCGTTAATTTACGCTTCATGAAGTTTTAGGCTAGTATACCAATGAGGTAACTGTACGCCATTCAAGATGATTGCAGAGATCCAAACAAATAGACGAATATCTCATATTACATAGCGAGTAAGGAGATTTGAATTTCAAGTGGCTCAAATTCAGGAGTAGCCTACTCACTTGCTCATAATGATCTACAAGTACTTTATTGGTAGGCAGACATGTCTAATTGTAAAAATTCTGTCCAATGTTTGAGTTTGGTTAACCTTTCAAGCTGCCCCCCACCCCCACGCCTCCTTGAATTCGCCACTCGATATTAAGGATTAATTGTACACTTCTGAAAAGCTTACTAATGTGCAAAATACATAACTAATTTTCAATTATCTTTAAAGCTTTTATCTTTATATTGACAATAACTGAGATTTATACTTTGATTCCAATATCTTGGATAATTTCCAAAAATAATCTTTTCATTCAGTAAAAAAAATCATATTCTCATTTGCACAGCCACATTCAAAATGAAAATTTACGAGCTATAAGAAAATCCTATTATTAGGCCTACAGTACTTACTATTATTACAGGTATTAATTTTTATTGAAGAATCCATTAATTGTGTCTATTTTAGGAGTTTGATGACGCAAACTATACGTAAAAAATATTTTTCAAATATCTCACACTATAGCTTGTCATTAATTGAGGTTCATACAAGGAATGAAATTACGTGATTTCCAAAAATAAACTGACAAAAACGCTTTGAAATACACCAATGGCTACGTTCGCACTTGCGACTCATATTAGGTGGGTCTCAAGACCAGAATGAATCATGCAAGGCCTAAACACGTCACAGTGTTCACATCAGATGGCTTGGCCGTAAACGAGAGAAAAACCACTCAAGCGCTGCTCTGTAACCTAGCGTAATATGGGCATACGCGAACACCATTCAGTACCAACAAAATTTATTTGAGCATGCTCGTAGCCCTTGACAGACATCACTTTTTCATATTTTTCAACATTTTCAGATGAAACAAGTCATGTTGATTGGCTCTTGTAAGGCTTTAAGACAGTAATTCATACTCAAAAATGCTCATGCGACGTGACTCGTGTCTGACGTAAGTTCTAAGTGTGAAATAGAGTTCATATGCAATTCATCATCCGTGTTATGCACTAAAACAATTAAATTGGATACAACTACTAATTATAAACTATGGTATCAACCCTGATTGTAACCAATTAAATTGTGCTAATTATAGAAATCTTCATTGTACAAAACAATCTTAACTTAATGATGACGCTTGTAGCCTACATGGATCAACTGATTTTAATGTACTAACTATAAACCATATCATGTTATTGGAATGCAAATAACTTGGCTAAGTGCTGTGTGAGTAGGACTGTCAATGCAATATCATTGAGGAATTCATTTCCATTCTCATATTTTTGACTTTTTGTTTATTTACTCACTAATTTCTCTTATTTTCAATACCTGGTCTCCTACTCTAAGAAATATTATTATTAATAATATGGTATGTTGAGAAATTATGCATGTAGAGTGATGTTGAAATAATAACAGCGATGGTAGTGACGATGTGATGACAAAATTTGACTACTATATGTAAAACGCATTTTTATTTTAGTCTTTATCACACGTTTTTTTACACATTTATGATACTTTTGTATACATTAATTCTCATTTTTATTTCCACCAGTCAGTGGTGAATTTTGTATTTGCTGTTAGATGGGATAATACATTAATAAATAATAAATAAAACGTACAGTATTTAAGTGGTTCTTTATAGGCAAGCTGATAACAAGCTATATTGAAATGTCCTTTCTTTTTTCAGGTCCTTCAAAACTTTAGTTTCAGCTGGTACCACAGTCATGGTTTTATACAGGTAGCTTCCATTTAAATATTCAGCATTGGCAATTTTATTATTTGCTCACATGAAAGTTTTATAATCCTGATTTATTCATAGTCCCTTTTATCTGCTTTTAACCTTGATGATTATTTTTTATAAAAACATGTAACATGCCTAAATATGGTCATGATGACATCACACCATGACCATAGGCACATCAAGACTATATGAGATCATATATGAGCAGACAACAGTTTGAACAGGGCTTACTGTGAAGCTCTTTTGGTAACTTGGCAGGTAAACATGCATTTATCAAAAGAATTTAGCAATCCTACACCAAAAAAAATCTGCTTACTTTTTGACATAACATGCATCAATTTTTATCAAAAATTTATTTTTCCACTGTTTAATATTTCCTTAAAAGAAAAAAAATAAATAAATAAAATAAAGAAATTAAAGTACACAAATGCATATACTCCTAATGACAGACATTAACTTTGTTTTCTCTTCACCTGTTTTTTTTTTTTTTTATCTTACTTGACGCTCCTAACAAAATTAGGCTATGTTTCATAAATTACTACAACTTGAACAATATTTGCTCCCAAAATTTTCAAGTGACATTTTGTAAAGGTGAATCCCTGACGTCATTGTATATAAGTGAATGACATGTACTTTTAATACAAGTTCATTATTCTTGGAGATCTATAGATTTACATGTTTCGTTTATTATCTCCTTGTGACCTTTAACCTCACCGACATCCTTATTATATTGTAATCAAGCTACTGCTACTTGATATGTAGTGTGTGCTGATGATCTGTTTCCCCCCTGCTGGGACTACAGATGATACCAATATTGATGCAAAAAAAATGGAGATTATTCCGATAAAAATACGTACTAGTACGCAGAACCATTAGTTTTAGAGAATATTATCTAGGTTATTCATTTTATCATCACAATATCAGCAATAAATTAATCTAAAACTCCAAACTAAACTGAATTTGGCTAAATATTTTCAGGAAAAATTAGGCAAAAAGCTAATAAATTAAATGGTATGAAAATTTTTTTTTGTATTAATGCTTTTTCAAGAAAGGGAATCAGAGGAAAGGGTCATAGGAAGGGTTATTTTATTAATATTGGTCATAGGAAGGGGTATTTTATTAATATTGGTCATAGGAAGGGGTATTTTATTAATATGGGTTATAGAAAGGGGTATTTTTTTTAATATGCTCTTTTAGGAAAAGGAAGGGATCATAGGAAGCTGTAAACAGGAATGATATGTTTAATGCTTCTTTGAAAATTAGAAAAAATATTGACAAACTGCTTAGAAACTGCAGCTGCGAAGGTCTGCTCTAAACAACACCATTAATCATTAATGTTGTTCTCCTGATTAGACGAGACTTGCACATTAATAATGATCAATCAATTGACGGATGTATAGCACATTACTACTATTTATACTTTTTCCTATTTATTTTAACTAGTAATGTTATCAAAAATAATCAGTATTGGCTTGAGATACAGATTTTTAAATTATTGACTGTACTTTCATCTGAAACACACTTTCAATAAAAGGCCTACCAAGTACAAGATGTATGTTTCAAAGTGGTTCAGAAAATACAAAGAAAAAAATCAATGTGCCCAATTGATAAATGTACAGTACTCCCAACATACATCCACTCAATTTGGGAAAATAAGTTTTAAATTAATAATTTATCATCATAATCTACATAAAACACAACATTCAGATGTCCTTGTTGAGCTCTGCACATACTGACTGTATTGTTATGACTTGGAAGAATTTCATGTAGTCTTTAGTTGAATTAGTATTATTAAATACTATTATTATTAAAAATGAAGACAAATATTGGTACTTACATAATACTTGATTGCGAAGATGCTATAGGTTTAGTTAATTTTTCTCTTGGGTTTTTACCAGCAGGAAAATTGCTAAGCAAAACTTGGCGAGGTATATTTCCACTGCTCTTATTCGGTGGCCTAATGTAAGGCCTCCCTCTAGATCTAACAGTTGTCGATGAAGGTTCTTCACTCTTTGTAGATGTCTTACGCTCCCACATTTGCAGAAGTTCCGGATTAAGGCTATTGCCTCTAGCTCTAGAGGGAGGTTTAATACTATTAACCATATCCAATAAGAGATTAACATCGTCCGTATCATTTCCATTTGATTCAAAATGTGACTGATCCATGGCTGCCAACAAACAATCTGAATCTGAACTGGTTTGGTTTAAGTTGATCATTTCATTAAGTCGCTGAGTAGGGGTCAGGTTAGACGTGCTCACAGCTCTCGGTTTCAACTGACTCCGCATGCTGGAATGCACAAACTCTCCTGGTATATGACGTTCCTTAGTTGTGCTGCTTCGATCAAGGTTGCCTAGGCTCCTGGAGTAACCTGTTTTTCCTTCATATGAGGTCTGAGGACGACTTTGCCGACACCGGAAATTGAGCAGGTCACTTGGGTGAACACGCACACTGAGTTTGTCAACAAATGGAGAGGCTACAATTGGATTATCATTATGGTCATTGTTTTCACCTTCAAGCTCACTAGAATGACTCAAAGCAGTATTTTTAGATAAACCCGTAAACGGTTGAGTCAATGAATGTAGAGAAACACTCTGTTGCTTTATATCATAAACACTATCATTAAAATCCTGTTTTTGTATATGAACTTGACCGGTGCTATTATATAACCCCTGGGATCTAGGATTCCTACGTTGCGTGTACTGTATACTTGTTTTTTGTGTGCATTGCGCACTTATCCTAATACCACGCTCAACCGTCAGTGAACTATCTTCCCACTCAGCGTTTTTGTTGACGGCAACATAGGCACCATAAACGCTACCACTTGGTGGTAATCTATAGCCACTGGCTGTTGTGTAGTTGGTGTCTGCTAACGAATCATCAATGGGAAGATGGCTTTCAAAGTCCTCAAAGCTATATAGCTCGGCTCCGTCCATTCTGAAAATCAAAACATAAAAATTAACTACAAATTACTGAAATAATCATAGGTAATTATCAAATTTTATTTACTTCTTTAAATAATTTAGTGGGTAGTAGTTCTACATCAAACTGGCTTCATTAGAGAGGTACTCTATTTACACAAAAAATATATACAGCTTTATTTATAAAGCAATAAACATAAACAAGTTATATGGAAGAATATAGATATTATACAATGAATATGACAATATAAATTAACTTTCAAACTATATAAATCTATATGTATGACGTTATATGTACTGCACGCTTTAATAATGCAAGGCCCAATGAAAAAAAATTATTAGTTTATCACCCTCGCCCACATGTCTTTTAAGTCTTGAAAAAAAAAATCTTAAAAAATTTTTCTTAAACTTGTTTTCCCATTTTTATTATCTCAATCATGTATTTTAATTTGAATATCAATGCACCATTCAACAACCCAAAGGTGACTTGGTTTTAGCAAAATAAAAATAAAAATCCTCTCTCCCTCATCACTTTTCTAGCCTAGAAGATAGGGTGATAAACTAATAATTTTTTTTATTGGGCCTAATACTGTTAAAAAATATATTGATATAATAGTTATTAAGAAGCTGCTTTCAAATCAGAGTCCTGGTTGGTTTAAAATTATATGAACAACTGGAATTATTTCCGGATACTTAAAATAACTTGACTCCCTAAGCATCATATATGAGTTAGTTTATAAAGAATACAACATTCTATCCATGAAGCTATTGGATGTGAGATAAATACTTTTTATAAATACACCATTGACAATGTTGAAATCATGGTCCATATAGTTGAAGCTGACTACTTGGGACCCTTGATACAGTATACAAAGTAAATCCAGTCACTCACTGCATCATATGACAACGAATCCGACTCCATTCCCTTTGAGCGTTAAGGCCAGCTCAGACAGCGCCATAAGACGAAGCCCGACGCAACTTGCTGTCGTGTAAAGTGTGTGAGTTAAACAATGACGCGATTGTTGGTGCCGGAGACAGTCGCATTGTAGAATATTAAACATGTTCAATATTTCGCGTCAGGGTTCCGTCTTCTCTCTCCGAGTTGGCCTTTAGACGATGCGACGTCAACTGCTGATTGTCGGTGACAGTCAGAAGGGATCGTCATTAACAACGATCCACTGTACGCGCATTATGGCGCTGAGTTCTTTATAGATTTGCGTCAGCGATTCTATGGAATGTCTAGCTTACAAAAGAATATAATACCATACAAAAACAAAATTCATACAGTAGTCAATGTTGAACATACATTCTTATATATTATATTAAGAATAAATTCTATATAATATTAAATATTAACAGTATTAGTAGCACATTCTTAAATTATATCAAAATAAAAGAATAAAATAGAATAGAAAATATTTCCATATGTAATTTTTCATAGTTTTGGTACGGCCATCTGAATAATAAGCCATTGTTCCAAACTTGAAAGTGCAAAGGTTACTACTGTAGAAAATAAAAAAAAAAACAAGTGATTGGATAAAAAATGCATCACAAGGTACCAGTATTTACAGTAACTTACTTGTACTATATGTTATCCATCTTCAGAAAGAAGAATATATCTGTGATGTAATCTACTGTACTATACACAGTTTACTAACAAACAACTATATACAACAACACACCTGCCCAGTGCCAACAACTTACCATTTTAGTATAAAACAAAACACAATGACGGTTTGTAGAAACTTTTTACTATTATGAAGTCTCATGTTCGGCGTTACTTAAAAATTACACTGCAATGCTTAAGAATAGAAGATTGCTTTAATGCTTCAGTAAAGTTGGATTAAGAACAGCCGACGTCACAGCTGGATTTTTTCTTGAGAAAATATACATCTTTTATACTTGGCTGATTTTGAAGAGAATAATAAACGAAGGATAAATTGATCGACACCTCTCCATAATATTATTGCTTTATACTCTGATAAAACAACATCAAAATATTATATTTTTACTTCTACCAGTTTTTATAAATTCCTTTGAAAATTTGAAAGTATACTCACACATTTGAAATTATAAAACAAGGTTTTAAATCCTGAATCTTATAAAACAAAAGTATTGTACTATGTAAATGATTATTCTTGGGTACATGGCCTATTTATATTCACTCTAAAAGGGTGGGAGATAATATAGAAACTGCATGCACTAATCTAACATTTATATACTATTAATCTCCAGAAATACTTCTACAGAATTGCAATCTGGAGATTGATTTGTTTTATACCAAATATGTAAGATAAGAAATGGAACAATTATAATATAAATGTTCTTAAATACTATAACTAAAAAGATGCCATATTTTCACAATACGATTAACAGAAAAAATTGTAAGATAGGTTAAAATAACAATATGTTTGTTTTACAGCAGATATACAGATAATATAAACAGCAGTAAATTATTTAACCCATTCTTAGTTTAAAATAAACCATTAATAAACACTAAAAAAAGAAAATATCAACAAACAAATAACAACAATTTTTACAGCTTTTCATGGAATGCTATAAAGCAGCATGATATTTACTCACCGCCGTTTTCCAGGCTTATTCCCCATGGTCGGCACTATTATCGTTTTCCTAATGCGTGAACCTGTCAAAGTGCTAAGAATGGCAAGAAACTAGTCTCTGAAGACTTGTTTTGTGATTTGTATGATATCCATTCGTCGATTAAGACTTAACCAAGCAAAACCCAACATATTGCGCGATCAGATATCTATTATGCTCATTATTTTCTTTGAGCCTGTGATTGTTTATCTTATTGGTTGAATGGCATGCATAATTTTCGAGCTGGTAGAATTGAAGATGGTATGGCTATGTGCCTCGGGTGCATTTGGATTAATAATGGAGGTGATTACACTACAAGAATGAAATCAAAACCTTCACTACAGGACCAAACACTCCCAAAAAAAAAAATCAAAAAAAAATCATATATACAGATCTATATATCCATGAGAAATATTTTTTTATAGCAAGTTTGTCAAAGAAACATAAAGGAAAATTATTGAACTTAAAAGTTCACCAGGAAAAATTCCTTTGAAATTACACACCATAGGAGGTGATTATTGTAGTGAACGCTGGTTTGTCTGTCGGTAATTCTCTGACACGACCGCCTCCCCATCTACAATCACTGATCTGGTTGTTTCATAATAATGTTACCACAGTGCTCCCCATGCCAAACATAATTACAAGGTAACCTATAATACTATACGCAAGCTGCACTGTCAGGCATCTCAGCATCAATTTTTATTAAAAACATCAAATATTGTATTGAAGGAACATTGCGTTTCGTTTGGAGAAAAATCTACTAATTAGGTAACAGGTTCTTTATTAAGGAACATTTTATCTCAACAGGTATCCACTCAAGAAGAATACAAAAACAGAAAAGAATCTCTAGAAAGATCAAAAACTAAGTTAGAAACAATATCATAAAGTTTGAATAAGATAAACAAAGAAAAAGTGTACCGCTCTTTGTTCAACATCTAGGAATAGCTGGTAACCAGATTGTAAGGTGAGCTGGGGTAGGAAGCCATGCTTTCGTGCTCAAACACCCTAAAATAAGGAACCAAGTCAGAACTATAATTGGATATAAATCATGAACTCACTTGGCTTCCTGCAATATTAATGTGAAAAAGATACTATGAAATTAGTTAGGTCTGGGGGGAGGTGGAAAAGAGGGAAGAATGGGAAGAGGGACTGTACCTATGCTAATGACTAACTGGATGTACACTATTCACTGGAATCAGGTGTTAAAATGAGCCTCAAAAATATGAATAACCATAATAATACTATTATATTTCAACATAAAAAAAAAAAAGAAAATTTACCATTGAAAATTTAATTTAGCTTCTTATTAATCCTTTATGAATAATTATTCACATATTTGGTACTGCACAGCTAGAAATAGTAAGTACGGTAGACCTGATCAAAATTACGAACCACTTGAAGAAAGAAAATAGCATCAAAAAATGCTCACAAAATTGCATAAAAGTGACGGATCAGCTTCATATACAAGAGTTAAATTAAGCTTTCATATTAAATAGCATTTCCTTAAAATACAGCTGCCGGGAATTCAATTTGATTGAGACCTATTAACACTTAGACGGATCCATCGTCACTGTAGTCTATATTTGCTCGCTTTACGATTCGAAATGAGCCAGTATACCGACCACAATGAATGTAATCAATATACTGTTGATCTCACTTGGAATATTGATTTGCCGATGACGCTAACGTGAAATCAGTGTTTGTACATGTAGCACACTTTGTTTTGTATTGACTGCTTACTATGCCTAACAACTTACTGTCTATTGGTAATAATTACCTTCATTTCAATCAACAAAGTGTGGAACATCAAACAATTAACTTTGATTGAATGACTTCAATAGCTTTATTAACTAGTGACATTGTTTTATTTCATATAGCAGTATTCTCCAGAACATTTCCTCTGCTTCTGCTTGTAAACTGTACATGTCCAGGAAAGGACTATCTCGGTATAGTGTCAAATGTATTGACTGATAATATATATGGTATACAGTATATCGTTACCGCAGCCACAATAAAAATCTCCGCAATGGTAACAAAATCACGCAATTTTCCATTAAAACAAATAGATTTTTCAATAGTCCAATCCCGTACTATATCCGATTACTCAATAATTCATAAACAGCAATGTTACCCTTGATGATTTGAGTGTGCCACCCTCCTTCCCGATTGGTGCTACAAATGTTCGGTCCAAATAATATAAATAATATTAATAATAATTTTAATAATTATACTGTAATAATAAAATAATTATTTTTTTTCTATATTTATATATATATTTTTATTTTTTTTATTTTTTTTTTTTTAATGTATTTCTTGTATCTTCTTTTTTTAATATTTTAATATTTTTGCCGCTTTCTTGCCCATAACTTTTGTAATATTACAAGCAATTTGGCCCATTGGGCCACCATTTGTAATACC